AGGATGGCAAGGAATAATATATTATGCACATAGACCGTTATGCATGTGAAGCTTCTAAGTTTCATTTTTTGGGTGATAGATCAAAATTTTGTGTATTATACTTGACAAACAGTTATTACATTAGCCAATTTGAAGGCTACTGTAAAAATTCAAAATATTTTATCCCTTGGAATTTATGTCCAAATAACATATGGTTAGTGGTACTCTTGTGGAAAATCTCAAGACATTGTCTAAAAGAAAGTTTTTTACATTCATTAAATTTACTAAAGGGCATGATAGTTAATTACTTAATTTAATGTTCATAATTCATTTTATGATTATTAATGAATCGACAGAATAGAAGATTGAGTCTTTATCAATAATTTTAGTCATTAATTTTAATTTTAGCGTTTATCTAGCTTTTAGTTATTGCTTTAAATAAGGTTGTAAGCCGTAATGACAGAAAATTAGTTTTTGAATTTACATAAAATAGACTTTGAAATTTTTCAATCTCATAAATCATCATATTTGATATTTAAAATGCTCGAACCAAAGAGTTCTTGATGCCTAAATTGCTGGTATTCTTAGGAATCAACAAAAACTAGAAGATGATCATGTTGCAGTATTATTTAGAATCAATGAAATTTCAATAGCATGCTCATTCATTGTTTCTATACTTCCACCTCTACATCAAAAAGACTAGCTTACGATGTACAAATGTACATCTCAGATCTCCTAAGTGAGATGATAAGTTCAATGTAGATGTCAAAGTAATATTATGGATATGTGGATGTCTGTCAGAGAACTAGTTTGCTGAATTTACTACATAATAGGACTGGTCACAAAGGAGCTCAATCATTGTCAACCACTCATCCTATGCTGTGATTGTGCATGTTATTCTCTTAGCTGAGGCACATGGTCTACTTGTGAAAGAGTCACCATAGCTTATTATGAAAAAACAGTATCTTTCATGGTACATTCATGCATGGAGACATGTAATTGTGCATTACGAAGTTGATCTCCTGAATTGCATTTAAAATGTCCTTTGAGATCTAAGAGTAAGCATAACTCCAAAATCCTTGGCTAAGGTATACAAAAATTAGAAGCTCCAATTGCTATAAAAGGAGATATCGCTTTGATTGATTGTATCTTTATCTTCATATATTTGACAATCATTATATTCGTATATTCGACATATAAGCATGTCTTCATACAATCGGGTGACACTATAACAAAAGGATTATAACACTCATTAACCTATTGGGGAACGGTTCTAAGAATATCCATTCATAACTATATAGGTGGCCATCACTTACATCTAGGTGATACTCTTGTCCTAAATGAACCTTGAGGATGGCTGAAAATTTCTGGATCAAAGGACAAAAGAAAAAAGACGTTTAATTAGTTTAACATCACATCTTTCTTTTTTTTTTTTTTTTTAATATGTAATCAAATATTTTATTATCAAAAATAATACACAGGAAGTGTATCATCAATTTAAATAAAAAGAGAACAACATGAAACTGAGCAGCCGGTCTATATGATTTGTAGCCGCAACATTAAACCAAATATACAATGTCAAATAAAATAATTCTCCAATATGCTCTGTTGTCCGTGCGTGATCATCAAAATAGCGATTGTTTCTTTCTCCACACAAACCATACGATGCAACCCTGAATAAGGTTCCAAACAATTTTGCTATCCTTTCGCGACACTTTCTCCTTCATGCCTTCATACAATTGGGTGACACTATAACAAAAGGATTATAACACTCATTAACCTATTGGGGAACGGTTCTAAGAATATCCATTCATAACTATATAGGTGGCCATCACTTACATCTAGGTGATACTCTTGTCCTAAATGAACCTTGAGGACGGCTGAAAATTTCTGGATCAAAGGACAAAAGAAAAAAGACGTTTAATTAGTTTAACATCACATCTTTCTTTTTTTTGATATGTAATCAAATATTTTATTATCAAAAATAATACACAGGAAGTGTATTATCAATTTAAATAAAAAGAGAACAACATGAAACTCAGGAAGTGTATTATCAATTTAAATAAAAAGAGCACAACATGAAACTGAACAGCCGGTCTATATGATTTGTAGCCGCAACATTAAACCAAATATACAATATCAAATAAAATAATTCTCCAATATGCTCTGTTGTCCGTGCGTGATCATCAAAACAGCGATTGTTTCTTTCTCCACACACACCATACGATGCAACCCTGAATAAGGTTCCAAACAATTTTGCTATCCTTTCGCGAAACTTTCTCCTTCATGCCTTTAACACATCTTTCATTCGCTTCGACATAGCCCAATCCATGTGTTGAGTGGCTAGAATGTCGTTCCACAACAAATGAGCAGCATCACGATGAATGAATAAATGGTCAATTGTCTCCCATCACTCTTACACATATAGTATCGCTCTGTAACATAAAGGTCCCTTCTTCGAAGATTATCCACTGGTAACACCTGACAACCATCCATTATAAGAATTCCACCCGTGGAGGCAGTTTACATTGCCATACCATCTTCCAAGGGAATGAACTTTCCACAAGTCCCATAAGGATCTAAAATAAGTGCTAACAGAAAAAAATACAATTCTGTGTCAGCCCCCATCTACTACAATCACCCTCTCCTACTTTGATGTGCACCTCATACAAAAATGTCAAGAGTAACATATAATCTTCAAATTCCCCATCATGCAAACGTGATGAGTTCTCTGCACTTATGATATTTACGCCACTTAATTTAATATTTTAGAGAATTTTAATGTGTGTTTTGATGTTGTGATATAGGTTGATGAAATTGAAAGAAGCAGCAAAAGTTGGCAAAATTGGAGAAAATGATTAAGTTGTAAGATATCCAAAGTTCGAGAACTAAAGTGCAAATACTCAAAAGCTGTATTGGACCTGACGATGAAGATTCAAAAGAGCTCGGAGTCAGTTGGATAAAGAAAGACATCAAAGAGATGAAATATAATCAAAATATAATCACATATCAATTTCCAACCGAAAAGGTTATGCACCGATTTTCAGCCTCATATTGAGACCCATTTTTAATATAGCAAACGATCGAACTCGAGAATGATATCTGAAGCAAATTTGTATTTCTTTGAGTTACCTTTCCAACGCATTTTGAATCGGCTTAATCGAACATCGGATAAAAAATTATGATAGAAATACTGAAGGACGCGCAAACTACCATTTCACTCGAAGTGGGCGCTACTGCACCCAAGACCTTGCTAAAAATAGCAAAATCGCAGCCCCAAGGCGCCGCGGGTACGAGAAAGTTTTTTTTTTTTTTTTAATATTTTTGGATTCTTTTCTTGACCCAATTCAACTCTAATTCATCCAAGACCCCAAAATACTATAAATGCAATATCAAAGAACCATTTTTGAGAGACAATTTTGAAAGGGGAATTCAAGAGGGTGAAAGGAGGCAAAACACCAAAAGATTCAAGAACAAGACAAAGAAGAACAAGAGAAGAAATTGAAGATCTACAATCAAGTTTTTCTATTCTCTTCCCTATGTATTGTTATATGAATTTTAGCATTTCCATAGATTATATCATAAATTAAATTCATTATCTAGGGATTGATTGTAGCAAAAACTCAAGATTATGATTTGATTTTGTCATAGTTATTTTTATTTGATTTCTCACATTTGTTTATTGTATCATGAAATTAATGTTTTCAATTAATTGGCCACTAATTGAATGAATAGATGCCAGACAATTTTGACACTGAGAGAGGAGAGTTTAGGCACAATCATAGGATTAATACAACGCAGATTTTATGGGTTTTGATAGAATGTATAGGATCTATGAAACTTACTCCATAAAAAAATCATGAACTTGGATAAATTCTTGACTTTAATTTGAAATAGAGATATTAGGATTAAAACCTAGGATTGATTTCTAGCTGGCACTCAAAAGAGGGAAAAGAAATACTCTAGGGTTCTTGCTTTTAAACATGAAAAATTGATTAGAACAGCTGGATTTAATTGAATCATATTTGATAGTTAGGTGAAATCATTCCTTAGGCCTTTCCATCTTGATTAAATTCATATAATTTGCGTCCATTGAATTCGCACCACATTCATTACGTTAATTTAGTTAAAATCATTGGTTTCAATTTTCATTCGTCTAGATAAAATGAAGGCTAAATAATTATAGTACTTAGTATAAAATTAAATTACAATCCCTGTGAGTTCGACATCATAACTCCTTTACTATATTATAAAACTTAACACCATACACTTGTGGTATAAATCACGTCATAGAAAACACGTGGCAAAACCTCTCCCAAAAACAATGTTCCAGCTCAGACCCCCGTTATGTATATCTAAGACTTCATTCACCATAGCAGACGGCTTCAAAGCAATACGACACAAGGAAATCCCACCTTTAGTGGTTGATCTCCACACTAACAATCATTCCAAAAATTGGTAGATTACCACCCCCACCACAAAAGTCACTCTATCTCGAAAGTCACTCCACCCTCGTCATATATACCGCCACAAGCTCACCCCATAAGAATCATGACCCTTGAGTAAGCACTATCTTCCTCCATAACACCATATTTCGCCCTTATAATTTCTCTCCAAAAACTCAGTTTAACATCATACCATATGGACAAGTGGTTATGAACCTAATGGGTCACACAATATGAAGGAGAGACAAAACTTGAAAAAAAATAAGTGGTGCTAAAAAGTTTGACATGTCCAAAAGGGTTTTGGATTGTTAGAAAAGGTATTCAACCAAGATTAGATATTGTAAAATCTTACAAGAAGATCTTCAGACATACGGAGAATGCTTTGGACACCCCGGTGTTGAACTGAGATTAGATATTGTAAAATCTCACAAGATCTTTGGTCATAA